AAGAAGCTTCTGCCCAGTTTTAGTAACAATAGCTGGAAACCAGTGTTTATAGCCTTCAAGCATGTAATGTACATAAGACTTTCCCCCTTCCCTTTGGCAGTAAGTGAGCCTTTGCCAACAGCTTTCTCTCTCTCGGGTCTGTCTACACTTGGACAGACTTTGACAAAAGGCATGACCCGGTTTCTCTCGCGGTAAACCAGCATGGGTCATTTTATTAATCAAATATTGCTGCACAGCAAATTATTCCAAAATCAACAGCTTAAAACAACACAAACATTTAATGTATCATGTGGTTTCTGTGGATCAGAAGTTTTGAACAGGTTAGCTGATGGTTCTGGCCTGGGGGGTCTCCCAAAAGTTAAGATGTTGGCCGGGGCCGAGTGCAGTTGTATGAACTTGGCTGGGGCTGGGGGTCTGCTTCTGAGATGGCTCCCTCTGCTGGCGGGCCAGTTGGCACCCGTCCTTTGCAGTGGTCCTCACCACATGGTTTTCACCAGGTGGACCTCACCCTAGGGCTACTTGGGTGTCTTCCTATGGTGGCAGGTTGCCCTGGGAGTAATCTGAGAGAGAAAAATGCGGAAGTGGCCGTGTCTTTTATGATCTAGCCTCAGAAGCCACACCATCACGAGTCCTGCCCCATTGGTGGCACAGACCAACGCTGCTGATGCGTTGCAGGAAGCTGGGCTGGAAATAGGTAAGTGAGGTGTGAGGAGAAGAGCTGTGTTTGATTTCTTTTCCGACAGCCATGCTGTGAAGTGGGACAAGAAGCCACTTGAATGGTAGTGGCATCTCCGTTCTTAGCCTGAAACTAGTTAGTTGCCTTGGAAGTAGAGATATCAGGGACAAGTTCTTTTCCTGTTTTGTCTGTTAACATTTACTTTATATAGAAAGGTGCTCTTCTGGTGGGTGCATAAACATTTATGAGCCTTGGGTTCTCTGGTTGGATTGATCCCTTTATCATTATCGGAGACAGACCTCTTGTCTCTGATTACAGTGTTTATTTTATGGTCTATTTTGTCTAATATATTTTATTTAGTTACTTTTCAAGTACATTTTTTTTCTCTCCCCCCCCCGCCCGGTCTCCCCCCTCCCTCCCATTCCCCCCCCCCAGTCCTCATCTCTGTGTCTTTCATACTTGTTCCTCAAAATCCCTCCCCCTTTTTAAATTTTATTTAGTTACTTTTCAAGTACATTTTTTTTCTTATTTTGTCTAATATAAGTGTAGCTTTTGTTTGGTTTCCATTTGCATGGACTTTTCTATCCCCAAACTTTCAGTCTGTGTCTGTCTTTACATCTTAAGTAAGGCTTGTAGGCAGCAGGCATGTAGACAGGTTTTATTTTGGTCCATTCAGTCCATTTGCATTTAAGTTATGGAAAGATAGGTACTTATTGCCACTTTGTTGTTTTCTGGCTGATAGTTGCTCTCTCTTCCTTTAGTGACTTTCTTAAGTAGTATGCTTAGATCCTTTATCTTTTGTGTATATAAAATGCTACCGGTTTTTGCTTTGTGGTTGCCTTAAACCTTACATATAACAACTTATATTTTAAGTTGGGAACAATTTTGAACATGCTAAACCTCTATTTTTACCCTTTTATGTGTTTGGTATGATGTTTTACATTTTATCTTGTTGTGTAACCCTTAATTATTGCAGTTACATTTTTACTTTTGTCTTTTAACCTTCATACTCTTTATAAATGATTAACCCACTACTTTTTTATTATATATTTACCTTTACTAGTGAGATTTGTACTTTCAAATGTCTTCTTGTTACTTAATATTGCCCAGTCTTTCCAGACGGCTTAGTGGTGATTAGAGCTTTCTTGCCCAGAAAACTTTTTCAATTCTGAGTAACTTTGCCAGAGAGCATACTCTTGGTCAGAAGTTTTTTTAAGTGCTCTTTGTACTTCTATGATGTCCAACAGCTCCAGAACCGGAGAGAACTAGCGGGCGGAGTGGGCCCTCAGATACACGGTGGAGGGAGAAATCCTTCACAGATCAGACAGCAGAGTTTAACAGAAAGATGGCTTTGAAGCCAGATCTTTAAAACCTGGACTCTAATTAGCTGTGAGCTTGCATGAATTAAGCTGAGGGGAAAAACCTATCCTGCACAGCTGCTTTTTATCCTAATAGTAATTACAAGCATCCTTAGTGCCTGCCCTTTGAGGACCTGCTAGCATGTCAGAGCTGCAGCTTAAGAGGACGTCAGTAGGTCTCGGGTCTCCTGGGCAGAAGGTGGCCGTTGTAAGCTCCCTGGGAAAGACCAGGATTTAGAACTGTTACCTGCTCCCCTGTACTCGCAGACCCAGCTCCCCCATCCCACGTTTAAACCTCGTCTTATGTGATCATCCTTAGGCCGTCCACTGTGCTTTTGGTCTGGGGCCTTTGGGTTCTCTGGTTGTCTGCTCTGTTGTCTCAACAGACTTCAGGGTACACATGACCAGCCCTTTAAACCCATTGTTAGTAAGGAAAGATGAAACAAAAGCTAATTCTGGGGGGAATTTGGTTCTACAGGGCAGGGACAGCTCAGTGAAAACAGGTGGGATAAATTAGGGAACCAGATCTGGTAGAGTCTGTACTTCACCTCACTTTGTGAGTCCATACAAGTCAATGTTCTCTTTTTCTTGTTGATGGCGTCACATTGTGATACACCCAAATTTTACCTGCTTTTCTGGTAGTAAGCTGGCAACTTTATGGGAGTCTTCTAACATCTTTTCTGCTTGGCCTTCCTGACCTTTAAGGTGTAAGGTATAGGTCAAGGGTAGACAAATCACATCCTGTTTTTATAAGTAAAGTTTTGTTAAAATACCGCCATTCACTGATGCAACTATTGATTCGGGCCACTTTTGTGCTACAACATCAGAGTTAAGTAGTTCCAGCAGAGACCACAAGCCTAAAATATTGACTTCCCCTTTTAGAAAAGATTCTGAACTTCTATCAAGGCAAAACTCTTAGGAAGGCGAGACTTACTGATTTAACTTAAAGCCAGCCAAGGTAAGATGACTGTCCTCCACGGCTGTACACGCATGGTTTGTGAGGCAGGATTCTCTGCGTGGTGCTCACCCCGGAGCTCGGGCAGCGGGACCACAAGCACTTTCCAGGGATGGACGGGCTGCAGCACCCAGTGTGGCAACGGCCGGTCTCCTGTACTTGGGTGAGTGATTAGAACATAAAACAGCATCGAGGGGAAAAGGCATCTTGTCAAAATTACTACTTGTGGACTAAAACAAAGGACACATTTCCACTAGAATAGAAATAAGTTTTAATTCATTTAAAAGTGCAGCAGTCAACAGGGTCCTTTGAAGGGCACTTTCTAAGTCAAATGACTGAAATGACACAGAACCAGGGCAGCGCCACTTCCAGGAACAGATGATGCAGACAGGGGTTCACAGAGTTCGGTGGGCGGAGGTGGTGGTAGAAATGAAGAACCCAAAGGCTCCCATCTGATTCCACTGCTGGGTCAGGTGAGACACCTTTGCTTCCTCTTAATAAGGATCCCGGGACCATTCTTTTGTTTAAAAAAAGAGCACGAATCCTTAGATACCCAAAAGTAAATTTAAGAACACTTTTATAGATTAAGGTGTAACTTCCATGGCTATCATTTCTATTTTGTACAAAAACCCTAGCATCGTCAAATTTGTATTGACAAAATACATTGATCCCCCCTGTGTATTTTGCAACAGCACCACTGGTAAAATTCAAAGATGTTCACAAGGTTTCCTACTTGGTAATTGTACTTGAGGAAGAGCTTTGTAATAGGGGATTTTTATAAGGCAAAAATCGATCTATTTCTGTGGCCTTTCTTCATTAATAATGGGTTTATAGTGCTCTACTCTGAAGAGTACCAACAGATACGGACCTGGCCTTCTTACAATGGAAAATAAAATTTAAGAGTACAATTCAGAGGAAAACAAGAAAACAAGACAGGCCTCTTGGCAGCGGGTCCCTGTGCACATTTTCAAAAGTTCGGTGCATTTTGTGGTCTCCTAGATCATGCAAGCGGAGGCCTCCTCACGAACGGTTTTGGGGCAGATGCAGCATGAAGCCTCTGCAGGGGAAGGAGTCAGACTGCAGGCCGTCCAGCAGTTGGGCAGGAGATGCGCCAACAGAGGCCTCGCTGCACCCCCATCAGCCTGACAACAGGAGCCCGCTGGTGTCGGGCGGCAGCCGACTCGCGGACCGCTCTGTGACTACCTGCTTCCAGGAACCAGCACTGTCCAGGGAATTCAGTGAATAAGATGACATCACAGTACAAGAGTTGGTTTCTTTTTATTCAGGAATAACTATGGCATTGATTTGGAAACTGAGTAAGGTTAAGAATCAAAAGTGTAGAATAAAGCTAAAACCCATGTTCAACATTGTACTTTGCTTTTAGTTACAAATCTTTCCCTAAAACATTCACAGCAGAGGTGTGCACTTCATTTGCTTACTTCACCTCTAACTGCCACCAACTAATGGGGCTGTGTGAGGTACAAGAATAAATGCAAGTGCCATCAACCCACCGCGGTTCGCTGGCATCCCGCGAGGAGAGCTGCTCAGGACCATGTCTTACACAGTGCTTAACGCTCAGCCTAGGACCTTGAAAAAAGCTAAAACCACTACCACCTGAGTCGAACAGGTTGCAAACCACAGCTCTTCCTCCTGTCCCTCCACCTATTCGCCTTCTTGTGAGGAAAAGGGTGGAAATGGGATTCGTCTTCAAGCCAAGAAACATAAAATACAGGTGTTCTAAATAGTGAGGAAACCTCAGCAAGACCTGGTTTTGACGAAAACGGAATGAGGCCCAAATTACACATCACCCCCCCCAAACAGGAAGAAACTGAAAGGGAAGAAGGTAGGGTGAAAAAGCTGATACTTTCATCAACTGTAAGAAATTTTTATATCTTAAATGAACAGAATGTCAGCAAAATGCAGAGTCAAAACAACTTCACGTGGGACCGAAACCCAGACTCCCTGCTGGACAGGAACTTGCTGCAATCCCAGCCGGAGCCCTGCGACCCTGTGACCTGCCAGCCGGTGGGGGGGCCTACCTGTAGAAGGCCCTCCGAAACACAAGCTTCACCAACGCTCGGAAGTTCTCCTCTGCTGCGTTTACCTAAGTCACTTTATTTTTCAGCACTCAGAGGGAAAAGCAGCAAGAGGAGAGACATGCCCTCAACACCACCAGTAGAAGTTAACTGACGTTCCATGTGAGTAGCAGCCACTGGAACACAGACGGCTCTCCCTGTCAATAACCACTTGGAATCAGCCTGTACCAAAGCCTGCTTCTATTTCAGTGCAGTGCCAGCCCAGAATTCCCCCAAAATGAACAGCGTGTGGTTGATGGGATTTGAATTTGCGCCCTTATTGCATCACACCGTGATGGATATTATAAACGATACATTTCTGCTATTCTAAAAACAATGGTACTTGTTCTTGATCAGATGATTTAGCTGTAATAGTTACTCTTCAAGCCCTGTGACATTAGTATTTTTTGATAGTGAAGTGCTCAATCTGAAATGCTGTACAGGTCCTTTGATTTCAGTTCAAGCTGTAGATCAAAAGCATTCCCCCCTAAAGCACTGCCATTTATCTGAATGAGTTTATAAATTCAGACGCGGACTGCACGGGGAGTGACCAAGAACTGCAGCCCCGGGACAGAAGGGGGATGGTGGGAGCAAAGACCTCAGGAGCAATGGGATGAGCTGAATGAGGGACCAGGGACAGCCGCTCCTGACATGAGGACAGAGTTCACAGTTTAACACATTGCACAAGTTGGTCAGCTGACTGGGTTGCTTTTTAAAATGACGTAAAGTCAGTCCAGAAACGCTTCCAGGTGTGGTTTGGTCTTGAAGACTAGCTACAGACACCTACTACAATCACTTCATCAGAAAGAGGCGTGCAGGGACCCAGCTGCAGAGGTCGCTACAGAAGATGTTTTGAAAACCTTCGAGTCCTGCCACCACTGTAATTGTTGAACATGAGACGAGGGTCAAACCGGTATCTGGGGAAGAAAAATACGAGGATGCCACATTAACTGTAGTCAGCCACTGAGAACTTCCTGCAGAATGTTAATAGGAAAGGATGCCAGGAAGAGAGCACAGGAATAATCAATAGCAAAGGAACACTCAATCCACCGGAAGAGAATCTAGTGGTTAAGTCTGTAGTGCAAAACAGCAGTACTTGATGATAAGGGCATTTCCACTGCAAGTCAACCAGCACAAAACAATGCAGGAGAGAGGATGGGGGGAAAGAAACAGAAGTCGGGTTAATCTTGGAAGGCCTAAGGAGGGAGGCAAGAGTTGAACTTTTTTTTTTTTTTGAGGGGTGGGGTGGTCCGTAAGGTATGAAGCCACCGAGGGACGAGCGCAGCCCTTCTGAAGGCCCTCCCTTTACAGTCCCGCGGTCGGTGAGAGCACAGGAGTGCGCCTCAGGCATGAGTTTAAATCTGGCTCACCGTGAACTCAGGTAAGTCCTTAACCGCACTGGCCACCAATACAATAGGCAATTTATGTACAATACCTGGCGCATAAAATAACTTGCTTTACCACCCACGGGAAAGTCACAGTGAATGCCGATTGGTAACTTGAGCCGAGACTTGGCAAACAGAGACTTACCATACATGTCTGCGAGGGCTAGAAAGAACATTTTGTTTTACTGTTTCTTGCACCTACTATCTTTTGGGACAGACGAGTTCCTACTATGATTTTAAAGCAGGGGCTGGGCAATTTTTTTAAAGGGATGAGTAATATTTTAGGGTTTGTGGGCCAGTCTGTCCCCATTACTCAACTCTACTTACTTAAGTGTACAAGTGGCCACACACAGCACGTGAGTGAGTGTGTGGCTGTGTCTATCAGGTGGTGCACGGACTGGGCCTGTGGATTCTACAGGCCTAAATGTTGGGAGGAGAGAGTAAGCTACGGCTGAGGAATTTTTAAAAAATGAGTTCTAAAATTAGAATCTAGTTTGTCTACTCATTCCCATATTGGTTTGGCCAAAAAATTTGTTTTTTCCCCTAAGACGGCTCTAGTAGCACTGTTATCTTTAGAGTCATTCAAAACAACTTTGTTAGACTGTATTGTGACAGCTGTCATATCGTGTGCATTTGAAAAAACATAAAAATTTGTGAATTTTTGTGCAGCCATTTTAATATTGAAGAGAGAAGAAAATATGCAGTATTTTCAGCATATTATGCTTTATTATTTCAAGAAAGGTAAAAATGCAACTGAAACGCAAGAAAAGATTTGTGCAGTGTATAGAGAAGGTGTCAAAAGTGGTTTATGAAGTTTTGTGCTGGAGATTTCTCACTGGGTGATGCTATACACACAGTTGGGCAGACTAGCTGAAGTTCAGAGCAATTAAATCGAGACATTAACTGAGAACAATCAATGTTATACCACGCGGGGAGATAGCTGACAAATAACCAAATCAATAAAGTTATTGGTGAAATTTTTAAAAAGCCTTTTATTTTACAGAAAAAACTAAAGCCTTTTTGGCCAACTCCATACGTCCTCTCTCATGTGGCCTGAAGAATCAGTTCATCTGAAATGGTTAAACAGTGACACTGCTACTCTCCACTGGGACATGTCTCCCCTCTGTCCTACAGTCAGAGTCTAAGAACTGAAATAATCTCTTCCCGGTGAAAGTTTAATTTTTAATTTTATAATTTTCAAGCAAAAGATGACAGGTTCGTCTATCGTAACGCACGGTGTGCTGAGCCCAGTGACCGTGGGGAAGAGCGGCTGCTGGAGGGGGAGGAACAGCCTGACCCAGGAGGCGCAGGTAACATCTCCCCCACCTCCGCATGCTGCAGTTGACGCGCTGACTGCAGCGTTTCAGAGTTCACACCTCTACTTCTATTAGTCCTGTGTCTAATACATGACATTTACTGGCAAGTACCCACATTTCTGAGAAGGCCATGCCCTCGGAAGTGCTAGGAAACAGGGTAGCACTTGGCCAGTTACTCTAAAGGAGCCCCAGCTGTCGCCAGTGCAGTCGAGTGGCACCTTGACCAGAACCGCAGGCAGGAGGGGAGGCAGGAGAGCCTCAGTGGTGAGATGCCCGGCTACGCCCGTAACTAAAGCACCGGTGGCACCAAAAAGAAGTTTCGAACAGCTTGTTTTCACAGCACAGCAGGCTGGCGCGCTAAGACACAGCATTCCCACTCTCCGGCAGGCGGATGAGAAACAGCACAGCCCCAGGCAGAAAGGACCCATCAGGCTCCCCCTGCTCGAGATAACTTGGCAAAGTCACTGAAGAAAATGGAAACTTACCCGGGGTCAAAAACCCCTGGAGTGCGACAGGTAGGTCCGGAACAGGACTGCAACATCATTAGCCGGTAGTTCATCTTTCCCAAGAGCTCTGGGTCTATACTCTTAGCAATGTTGGTGATTTGGTGTGGGTCTGCGGTCAGGTTATAGACTTCTACGAACACCTGCAGGAAAGGATGGAGGAAAGAAAAGAGCAAGGGGTTACGCTTAAAGAAATACTCATGTGAACTATTTCTAAATGGGGAGGGAGAAGGTAGACATCACTCAACGCCTGGGAGAACATCATCTCAAAGGAAAATTAAACATCCTCAAAGAGCCCAAGGGTATACGTGAGACAAGGGAGCATCTGTTCCGGGGTCCACGGCCCACATGTGGGAAGGGGGCCTGTTTCAGGCAGAGTCAGGAGGGGGCAGTGGGGGCAGGTTTTCCTTTCTGTAATTAAAGCAGACAACAGAAGGCATAACCCTCCAAGGGCAAGGTCTCAGAAACCAGACCTGGTAATGAAGTGACGGAGTGGGAGCTGACAGGTGAAGGTTTACTTCTGCCTCTGAATTGTGAAGACAGGAAAGTACTCAAACCTGTGTTACACAAATGTTAGGTTTCCCTATGTTACAAAGCAGTTTTGGATGCACTGAAGGATACAATGCTATTTCTAACATTAGACATGTCTAATATCACCATTTCCCCCATCTGTGTGCACTTGTTCTCCAAACTGGAGTCAAGTGATAGACAGACTAGGAAGATGGCAGGAAATTCTGCCTGTTGGCTTCCAGTGGCCGCCCTCAGACCCTCATTTATAAAGTAGTTATCGTACTGATGAAGATCACAGGGGAAGGGGCACCGGAACCGAGTTTGAGGAGCGCTCTCTTGCCTGTCGTCTAAAGTGCTTACGAGCTACAAGCAAATGGAGCGTGAGTCAGCTTCTGAGAAACACGATCACGACGAGCACTGGCTCCATATGGCGAAATGTGGGTGAGCAGATGGGGCAGGGCAGCACCGGCTGCAAACACCGAAACCGCAAGGGACCGGAGTCCACGTGACCCTTCCGATAGCACACTGATGCGTGCTGGCTAAAGGCCACCTTCTTCCAAGGGTGGGGCTCCTGGTCCTGGCTCTGGCCCCCTGCCCCCCACTAATCTATCTGAGCAACACTGGATTATGCTGTGGTGGGGACAGAGGTTTCTGAACAAGTTGAGGGTGTCTGACCCTCAGCCCAAGCTAGCAGGGAAGCAAACAGACCAGACAGGCAGCACTCTGAAAAGTGACCTGCACCTTTCAAGTGCACGAGAGGTGGTGGTGGGAGTGGAGAAGGCCTCATCCAGAAAGGTCACAGAGGACAAAGAATGCCCTCGGGGAATTGTACTTAGATGAAGGAAACCTAAGTGGAAGTACAGACGAGAAACCCCTTCCCTAGAGAGCACCCTTGGACCCGCTCTTCTGCCGCTGAGTCCAGACAGCAAAGCGCTCGCACGGACGCAGCGGCGGGGCCCAGCAGGGCGTCTCACCTCCTGGTCATCGAACTCGCAGTACTGCAGGTCCCACCGTGCCGACAGGGTCCTCACGCAGGCGTAGGTGTTGTTGTAAGCATCTTCACACACGCAGTCCGGGAAACATTGCTGCGGGGGGGGGGGGGTTCAAAAGTTACGTGAAGAGAGTTCTACAGTAACAACTAACTGTCTACAGGGACAACCAAATTGGCTCAAACCTGACATACAATTGGAGAGAAATGAGGAAACCTTCCACAGAGAAATGAACTGAAAATAGATGTGAGGCTTTGCTCCTCACTGATGTGATGGCGAACCTAAGGAGTGCGGCTGGGGGGTTCTGTGGCCACCCCACCTGCTGATCTGACCAGGGCCAGCTGGAAGGGCCCCTGTGGAACGCAGGGTTGCTAAGGAGAACCACCCAGCACTCAAATGAGTCACCTCGAAGGTACAGCAGAACTGCCATCCTACAGGGTTGGGGAAAAGTGCTAACATGAACTTTGTAAAATCATCTACAGGTAAGTTATTTATTATGAGTGTTTTATCACCAAGTGGGACTTAAACTTCTAACTTCTTTGTTTTTATAACCGTCTCATGACCCTGTGGTGCCAGGAGGGCCAACTCCAAATGGAAGCCTGTTTTCCGTTCTCTAGAGTGAGGCCCACGTCTTCTGTAACCACCCTGACGACCACCCTGGCAAGACGCTCGTGACGGCACAGTTGTAGGTGGGACCCATCTCTGCTGGGTGCCACTGACGACACCCCTAGTAATAAAAGCTGGTCCTGCTGCCGGGAAGGGCAGGGGAACAGGAGGGGGTGTTAATAAGGTAGGAATACGGACAGATACGTGCACTTGTTACAAAAACTGGCAGAATTTGAATGCACATTCTTGACAAATACATCAGCAATACCATCTTCGGGGTTTGTTTTTTTTCATTTTCAGAATTATTGAATTTACCTTTGTGTATCTAACTAATCTTCCACAGTCAAGCGACAAAGTCAAGTGAGAGAGAAGTAGGACTCAGATGAAGGGTTCCAATACTTGATTCACGTGAACTAACGCCTCGCTGTGCGCTCTGTGAGAACGCTGTCCAAGCTACTACTACTCACAGATACTCCAGGGCTCAGGGAAGGGCACGTTGGGTCGGTGACATTACGACCTTCTCCTTGATATTCCACCAGGACATCCGATCGCCAAGTCACATTACTGGCACCTCTCTAGAAAGAAGAGCAAAAGTGGTTCCTGTGAGGCACCTAGGCTGTGACAAGGATGACGGTTCTTATTCTTCTGGGAAAGGGGACTTGGCAGTCAACACAGATTGGACTGTTTGTTCAGTAACTACAGGCGATGACTGAGTGACGCGTATGAAGGCTCCTGAGTACCACATTTGGTATTTATGGAGCCCTTGCAAGTGATGGTCAGACGCCCTGAGCATTTTATAGTTACTTCCCAAGATTACTTCTGTGAGGCAGGTCAGGAACGGCAACCAACAAAGCAGCTAAGCAAGAACTGGTCCCATGCCAGGTGCTGGACATCCAGGTCAGAATACACAGTCCTGTCTATAAATTCTATGGAAGAACATTTCTAAGCACATACTAAGAAATTTATAACTTAATACACTCAAGGACAAGAACTTGCACATTGAACAGGGCTGTGCTAAGGACCGTAGGACATTCTTGGTGGTCAGAATGAAGATACTACAAATACATGAACTTGTGGGGAGTGGAGAATTCCACACCCTTTCAGTGCTTACGGCTGGACTTGTAGAAATAGAACAGTAAAACTGACACGTGACTAAGACAGACAGAAACAATGTGTGTGCTCGGGAGATTCACAACTGTAATACTCAGATCATAAAACGAGGCTCAAAGACATGACTGAACCAGGTACTCTTTTAGACTTTTTAGACTAAGGAACAATAAATTTGTGAGAAACTGACAGGAGAGGTAATACACATCAGAAAAAATTCTAAGCATGGTTTGCGTGTTGTTCGTTAGTGAGGAATCTAAAGAAAGTCTGGGTAGTAAATTAGTAAGGGCGGTACAGGGATTCTCCTAACGCGGGTGATAAGGTTGTCTCTCAGGAGCAGGGTGGGCAGCTATCACATGACATCACATGGGACATTCACCTCCTGCTCTTGGGACAGATTATTCAGGGTTTTCTTCTTGCATGAGAGTTTCTTAAGTAGCTTTAATTCAAAATAGTATGCCATTGTGGGATATCTTGGGGTGGCCTGCCCTGGGCCTTGCAAGTAGAGTGTAAGACCTGTATGGAGAAAGTTAAAGGAAGTAACTAACTCGTCTACAGATTCAATGCAGTTCCAACCAAATGCCCAACACGATTGTTCAGGCAAAATGAAAAGCTGTTTGTAAAGTTTATAAGGAACAAAGACTGCTAGAATCCCTGTAAGAACAATGACAGACGTGCACCCATACAAAGATTTAATTATACCGCTTTATAACAAGACAAAATGATACTGGTACAGAGAGAGCTCTTTGGGACGGAAAAGACGACTGAATATTTATAGAGAAGAAACTGAAATTGGATCCCTGACTCATACCATACAAGAAAATCAATTCTAGATACAACGAGGGCTTGAATATAAGCACAACATTTTTAGGAGGAAATCTAAGAAAACTGTTTTCTAACCTCAAGGTTCAGAAGCATTTTTATAAATGAGACACAGAAGATACTAAGCATAAAAGACAATTTATACATTCAACTTGTGATGTCTTATGTTAACATAAGGAAAAGACAAGTTACTAAGGGAGAATATGATGGGACAAAAATGGGTATCTTATGAGGAAAGAAACACAAAAGGTAGAAATGAAAAATGATTCACTGATCAGAAAGAATATATATATATCTACATATCTATATCTATCTATCTATCTATCTATCTATCAATCGATAGATAGATAGATAGATAGATCGATCCCTGGCTGGTGCTGCTTAGTGGATGGAGCACCACCAGACTGTAAACCAAAAGGTCAATGTGCCTGGGTTGTGGGCATGTAAGAAACAACTGGATGATGTATCTCACACTGCTGTGTCTGTCCCTCTCTGTCCCTCCCTCCCCCTCCCTCGGAAAGTAAATAAAGTTCAAAAAAACTGATTTTCTTCAATAAAAAAAAAAACTGGAACCCTTGTACACTGCTGGTGGGAACATAAAATGGTGTAGTTGCTTTAAAAACGGTATAGCAGTTTCTCAAAAGGTAAAATAGTCATCATGTGACCCAGCAATTCTCCTGGGTGTATATCCAAGAAACTGAAAAATTTGTCCCCTGAAAACTTGTACACAAATATTCACAGCACCATTATTAACAACAGCCCCAAAGGGGGAACAACCCACTGTCTACTGGCTGATGAATGAATAAACATACATCTGTACAGTGGAATACTATTCAGCAGTGAAAAGGAATGAAGTATTACTGTTGATGTTATAATGTGGATGACCCTTGAAAGAGCCAGGCACAAGGGGCCTCGTAGTGTATGACTCTATACGAACTGTCTACAACAGACCTACCTACGGACACAGCTGACTACCGCTTGCCTGGAGGAGCTGGGAGAGGAAGCAGTGGAGAAGTGACTGCTAATGTTCTTGGGCGATGAAAATGTTCTGAAATTAGATTATGGTGTAGTTGCACAACTCTAAATATACCAAAAACAAATCACTTATAAACATTAAATGAGTGAAATGTATAGTAAGTAAATTAAGTCATAAAAAGAGATTTATCAATAATAAAAAAGTGCACAGCAGGACCAAATACAATTTTGGTCTTTTTCACCCACTACATTGGCAAAATTTAAGTCGTCTCACAGTTTCATACAAAGCAAAGGGAATTGTCACTCACTGCTGGTGAGATGTAAACTGATGACCACTTTGTAAACTGACTCGGTAATACCTGTAGCAATGAACGTGCAGTTCCTGTGACCTTGGTACACACACGTTCACTGGAAGACGTGTGTAAGAATGCTGTGGCAGCGCTGTTCCTAACACAAAGCTAGAACAACACACATGTCCACTGACTGACAAGAAAACATAATTAGGCAGTGATATATGCATACAATGGAATATTAGGCATCTGTGAACACCACAAATTTGGAAACAATGCTAGACTGAAAAAAGTTCCTAATGACACCCAGCAGGGTATCATTTTTAGAGGGCAAAACAAAATCAAAACTAGGTATGTTGTTTAAGGATACATACATACATAGTAACCCTAAAAAAATAAAAGCCAGAAAATGATAACCATGAAATTCAGGAAAATGAGCCCCAAGGTAGAATTGCCAGTCATGGGAATATTTCAGTTCTTAAATGAGATGAGGGAGGTCATGACATTTCTTGCATTTCATAAACAATGTGTTACATGTATTCTCTCGTATGAAGCATATGCTATCTAATAAATTCTAACAGATTCAGACAAATCAATGAGTAAGACTTACCTATGAGTCACCATAAATGCCTAAAACATTTTAGTACTGATCAGTCCAAATGTGTCTATGTTTAAATGTATTAAAATACATTTCTGCCTTGGCTAGTGTGGCTCAGTGGATTGAGTGCCGGCCTGTGAACAGAAAATTTGCTGGTTCGACTCCCAGTCAGAGCACATGCCTGGGTTGCAGGTCAGGTTCCCAGGTGGGGGCATGTGAGAGACAATTATTGATGTTTCTCTCACACATCAATGTTTCTCTCTTCTTTCTCCCTCCCTCTCCCTCTCTCTAAAAATAAAAAAATAAAATGAAATACATTTTTAATGAAGAGATGCTGCTTCAAAACCTTCTTTCCTCTCTACAGTATGTGGGAGGCATACTTCCGAGTCCATGTATACAGATCTTTATCATTTAGTGCTGGCTTAATGGTGCAACGTTTTAGCCAATTCCCTACTGGATATTTAGATTTCCTGTTTTCTTCTGTTAACGCTCATGTACTTTTTTTTTTTATAGTTAGCTCTGTGTGGTGCCAGGTACATAGCAGGCACTCGTGAATGAATTTTCTTTTCTTAGAATAAATTCCCAGAGGGAACTGCTTGATGTGTGTGTTCTGAAGTGGTACGTGTTGATAAATTAGCCTCCTGACAGCTTCTACTGACTGCGCTCTTAGGAACAGAGTCTGCGCAGTTTCCACTTCCTAACCTTCTGCCAACAGTGGTATCTCCGCCAGTGCTGCGTCAGTGAGGGCCTCCTTCGCGGAGCTTCCTTCGATCCCCACGAGTGCCATCTTCTGCATCTACTTTAGCCATTTCTAATTCCTCTGTGAGTTGATTAGTCACTTCTTTTGCCCCTTTTCTTTTACTGGGATATTAATCTTTGCTAAGAACTCATCTATTAGAAAACTTGCTACCCTTTTTCACATATGTTGCAAGTATTTTCCCAATTTATCACCTGTTTTAATTTTGTTTATAATAATTTTTTGGAGGGATGGGAAGTAGGGAGAATACAGAACGGTTTATATGTGGCCATCCTTTTTTAAAGAAAACTCCTTCCTACCACAGAGAAGAGAAAAATTCTATTCTCTCTACCCCAAATTTAACAGCTTTAAGATTTCAGTTTTAAAGTCTAAATTTACACAACCTGGAATTTATTTCAGTCTTGGCTCAGGCCTGATTGAGGGTTTTATACTCACCAAAATGGGCAATAAAGACATCCCATCCATCTGTGTCTTATTCAGGTCATAGCCAGCAATGTCCAAAATAGTAGGACCCAAGTCGATGTTGGCAACAAGCATCTACGAGAATGAGGAAAAAAACCAAGTTTTCCTTTTCTGTCTATACTCTTCTTCCCCCACCCCACCCCCTAGCTTCACTAATGGATTAACTGTCAGCATTCTGAAGCTTCTGTCTCTGAAATGACACAGACAGCATTTACTATTATCTTTCGTACGGATCATACTTACTTAGGTCTTACTGATTCATATATTCAAATATAACTATAGTAATTAAAAAAACAAAACTAAGGTTTATAAGCTATGCCTCTGGGATTTATTCCACCCACATGCTATTACTGATCAAAACATTTTATCCCTGGCTGATGGGGCTCAGTGGATTGAGCGGGGGCCTGCGAACCAGAGTATAGCAGTTCGATTCCCAGTCAGGGCACATGCCTGGGTCGTAGGCCAGGTCCCCAGTAGGGGACGCATGAGAGGCAACCACACATTGATGTTTCTCTCCCTCCCTGTCTCTAAAAATAAATAAATAAAATCTTAAAAGAAACATTAAAAAAAAACCAAAACACTTTTGGGATTGCCTGGAGTCTGCTATGAATCATGAGAAAAATACTGGTCTATTTTATACAAAGTGTTTTTCAATTTGATCACTCTTACTAGTTTACTAAATTTAACTTCAAATGGACTCCTGACAATTTCAAAAGCCTCAAAGTTTGAACCCTTAACCACCAAGGAAGATACCAGCCCTTTTCATAAAAGTTTCGCAAACTTCTGCACTGGTGCATAAGTAAGTTTCCTTACAGGGGATGAAACTTAGATGTTTTATTTATTTATTTCTTAAAAGATTTTATTTGTATTTATATTTAGAGAGAGAGAACGAGAGAGAGAGAAACATCAATGTGTGCTTGCCCCTCATCGCTGTGGTCACAGGTTAGGAAAAGCTTTGGAGTGCTGACAGTAATCCGCCAGGGAAACTCGGGGGACCGATGTTCACTGAGCATGTATCCTGAGCCAGCACAGGGTGTCGACCCTCATTTAACCCTCACCACCTGGAAGGCTGTATTTCCCCCGTTTTATAGGTGAGGAAATGAAAAGAGAAGTAACTAAAACCAAGTCAATAGCTGGTAACTGGAAATGCTCCTTTACTCAAAGGAAATAACAGTTTTCAAAATTACTGAGAAAACTTAGATCTGAGGGGAGGCCAGGTAGGGGTTTAAAAAGACAACTACTACTAACCATGGTACTTTTAATTTAAAAACAAAACCAAAAGTACGGACAGGAAAGGCAAGAAAACAACGTCGCCCGGCTGTTCATCAGGGCCAGGGTTCCCGGCAGCCAGGAAGCCGGAGCAGACGCAGATGCTGGCTCTGGGTCTGCCAGTGCGACTGCGGCTGTCAGACACGACTACTCGGTGGCAGGCAGCCCCAGGGAGAGGCAATCCATGTGTCACTGAGAACACCCCCAGGGCAGTGTCTCCAGGGAGTGTATGAGACCCGGGTGAGAGACGTCTTGGCGAGCTCCGAGTGCCTCAGGCGGACTGCGCAGCTTGGAATACAGGCAACCAGAGTGAGTGTGCCTGAGAGATCAGGTCAGGAAAGCAGAGCCAAGCAGAGGCATGACCTCCAGGGTCAGATGAAGGCAACGAGACGCTGACTTGGGACTAACAGATCTTCAGTGATGTCCAGAATATGAATGAAGTGAAGCCTAGTCCATGGGTATTACTAACATGTCCAAGGCAGCTTTTTAAGAAGAGAAACAGGTAAACTCCGAAATAGTAAAACCCACAGAGATACATAATGGCGACTGCAGGTCTCCCCGGGAATTATGAGCCAGCAGCTGTGTGATGGGAGGCTCTTACAGCGGCTGCTCTATGCGCCAAGGCGTCAGTGCCAGTACAAATCAAGGGGTACTGAGATTCAGCCCAAGTGCCAGGTACCCGGCCCCAGCACTTTCTTCCCAGACAGCCACAATGATCTCTTCCCTAGGGGGTTTGTCTAAGAAGCAGAGCCTCAAAATGAGCATGCTACGTCCGGACCCACAGTACGGGTCCACCACAGCAGTGACTTCTAGAAACATGGATGCTGTAGCTTCCTGAAATGGTACAGGTGCTCCTCAACTTATGATGGGGTAGCGCCCTGAGAAAACACATCATAAACTGAAAATCTCGTAAGTCAATTTAATAAGCCTAACCTACCAAACATCATAGCTTAGCCTAGCCAGTTTTTATGGAATGGGTGGTGCTTTTGCACCATCATAAAGTAAAAAAAAAAATGTAAGTCAGAACGTTGTAAACTGGGGACTACCTGTACTACTTTTATTACTATGTATAAACTCGAAGACTCATGGATTGTAACCGAAAAAGCTTGGACAAGACCAAAAGTAGGTTATTTTGTAAATCATAGCCTTACAGTTCAGGAATATTTTTGGGGATTTAACTATATAGATATTTAATCAAATATAAGCCCCTAGAAAACTCTGAGATAAGGGTATCATGGCTTGAGACTGTTTACACTTTAGCTCTGGAAGGATGACAGTGCTGCAGAGTCGATGAGAAGAGTAAGAGGACCCTTGGGAGGACACAGCGGGTTTCCTGATGTTAAAGAATTCATGCCGGGCTCTCAAGGCAAAGGCTCGAAGCACATCAGAGAGCACCCAGATCCACTTCACAGAAAGCCCTGGAACTGGGTTAAGCAGAGACCTCCCCACATCTTGGGCTGCTGCACTGGATCTGCCCCTGAGCCCTGGCTTCTCTAACAAGGAGGGAGCCCCTGGCCGCACTTCGCGTCCTCCCAGCCTCACAGGGGAAAGCAACACTTATCTTGCCCAAAGTATTACAGCCCACAGGAGGTCTTCCAGATTTCCAGTTCAGCTCTATCGTTCCTGGGTCAGGCTGTGTCATGTTAGTTTTCCTGCTCATCTGTTCCTGTCTTAAAATCCCTTTGAAGAAATTCTACCACCAAATCTGAAGCAGGATTAACTTCTAGCAAGAGGAGAAAACCTCAACAGCCAGCCTATCTTGGGCAACCATACATCCCACCTTCTTCTCCTAAACAGCCAACAGAAAACTAAAACCACTGGTCAAACGTGCTCTGTTTTCGCCACCAGGCTGCTGACAGCTCAGCGCATCACGGCCAACTCAGAGCCCTGTGCCACTCAGGCAGCACAGCTGGCACCGAGACACCGAGCTGCCAACACACGATGCCTCATCCACCGCCTCTGGCATTCTCTGTGCTCGATGGAGGCCAGGGCATTCCGTACTTCCCAGACTACGCCTGTCAGCACGGCAGCGTAAGAAATCGTGGATCTCAGAACAGGCACAGTTCGTTTTCAGTCCCCGTCCTGCCACTTACTATGTGACCTTGGTAATATCCACTCGACTAGTGTGAATGCCCCCTGATATGTTTTAGGGGCTGGGTATTCTATGTTTAGATAGTGCCTCTCTTCTTAAAAGCCCTTGAGTAAAAAAGACAAGCTCAGTAGGGCGTGGTAAGTGTGAGGCCAGCTGGGAACAGGTGAAGGGCACCTACCCTATGTGGGGGCAGGAGTCTGTAGTGACTTCCCAGAGGGGACCCCTAAAGGACAATTAACGTAGTCTGGCAAAAATGGGCATTCCAGACAGAAGGAATAGTCTGTCACAGACAAGCAAGGAGGTGAGAGGTGGCTGGCTTAAGAAGTGAAAGTAGTTCAGTCCAAGGGCCACGTCCTGTCCCTTGAACAAGCTGAGCTCATTCTCTTCTCACACTTGTGCCCTCACATCTACTCAGAACACCCACCCACAGATCTCTGTGTGACTAAATCCTTCTCAACACCCAGGTCTCTGCTCAGATGCTGCCGAGGCTTTCACTGACCACTGCGGCCGAAGTATCAGGCGCTCTCTGACACGGAGAGGTAAGGACTAATCTTCCCCGGCTGCTCACTGCTGAGCACCTGGGCACACTGTGCTGGCACAAGACACTTCCTAAATACTTGTTGTCTGAGCTACAGTGTACTTGTCAAGTGTAGGAACTCTGCAGCCAGACTGACCAAATTCAAATACAGGGCTGATATATTTTAGCTACATGATCTTGGACAAACCACTTAACTTCTGTACCTCAGTTTCCACACCCGTAAAATGGGGCTACTAGTACCTATATCTCATAAAACTGTGAAGGTTAAGTGAGTTGATACAGGCAACACATTTAGAATAGCACCTGTCACATACTGAGCATTCAGTAAATGTTAGCTGTTATTGTTGAAATGGCTTCCCAGGAAGACTGTTTAGAGCAGGTCAAGTTTCTGATTTTAACATTTAGATGGCACTGTTACCGTGGAGAAATGAGCAGCTGGCTGACACTGCACTCTGTCCCCACTCAGCCTCCTCCTTCCCCACACTGGTTAGAAGCAGCCCTCGCAGCCCTGTTGCTCGGAAATGCACACAGCTGCCAACATTTTCTGCAATCAGCTCTCAGCACCAACATCAACAAAAAGCTTTTAAGATTTAATGATCTTCCAAACATGCCTATCTCCTTTGTAAGAAGAGGCCCATTTAGAGGGCACCGAATTTGTAGTGGAAAGTGACTGCCTTTAAGAACATGGGTCTTAGGAGAAAAAGAAAACTCAAAGGCAATTACGAAGGCCATTTTATCTTTCTGAGAAAATTTTAACAGAATTCCATCAAGAGCACTGTAAAAGGAAGTAAGTAAATGGCAGACATTTAAACCCCAAAATTAAACTAAAGTATAACCAGAAAGTCTGGCCCACTTTCCAATCTCAGCTTACATAATGTATTTGCTCATTCTCTTTTGTTCCACTGAACACTGAAATTGTGATTCAGCAGAGAGAGAAGACGCAACTTGGATTGATTTTTATCTCCCAAGCACCAGACCAGGGCGTATTGGATCAAGGTGCCGATGATCTCTAGAAACAAAGTGCCTTAGTATCAGGTACCCAGTTTGGAAAAAGACACTGAAACCAAATGGAAATGACGACAAAAGCATCTGGCACATCATGACAGTTCTGGGTGGGAGAATCGGCAGAGCTGCAAAGCATCAGTAAGGAAGACCCCCCCCAGAGAGGAAGTAAAT